GACAAGCCGATGTTATAGCAATGCACAACTATATATCACTTTTTATTTGAAAGACTGTGAAATGGCGAAGTTTTGCTTTGAGAATGTTTACTTAATTGTTAAAGACTTTGTGAGACTATCTGCTCGTATTTTCAGCATGGATGTATTGTCTTCTCGGATCAGTAATGAAGTGGACAATTTTCGAAAACAATTCGAAGAATTCTTCGTTGAAAAGAACAAAGCAAAAGATTATGGGATGCGATCCGATTTAGTGACACAAAAAAGTGATAAAAAAACAATTTATTTCTGAAAACAACCCAATAAATAGTTTGTCTCATTGACGACTTTTTGGAGTTCTTCCATTTGGGCCATGATCTACAAAGTTGGTATGTTCGCCATAACTTGTTAATTGTTTATATAAAACAAACATTGTTTTTGGAATTATCGTTGGTGTATACGAAAAGTGCTTTTTGACACGCCACCATTGCAATTCGCAATGTTTTCATGTCACTTTCCTTCAGCCCTGCTTGTATTTGCCAGTGTTTTGAATTGAATCCAAGTCGTCGACATGACTTGATGCAGAGATTTCTTGGAAACATCACCATCATAGTCCCAAGGTGGTACGTCGTTGTTGATTTTAACAGCGCCCTTGTCGTCTGAAAGTGTGAAAAAGTCTTTGTTGTTGAACTGTTCATTAAAAGTCTTAACCCATTGTTCTTGTGGAGCTTTGAATTGCTCCAAAAATTGAAAGAATTACCAATGGCCACCACAAAGTATAACAAAACTCTAATTGTGAAAAAGTCTTGTTTCCCCATCTTTCTCTTAAGCGAGAACATGATAACTCGAGCAATAAAAAGCCATTCAAATGGTTGTGGTTGTTGGAGTAGCATTTATTGCTCGTCACACAACGGACAAAAACAGAGGCGAAGACACATTGATGGTTGTCCCATCTGTTGGTTTATTTGTTGATTCACTTGTTGTCCGATTTGTGAGTTTGCCTGTTGCGGAATTTGTTGTTGGTACTGTTGTGGTTGTTGTCGCTGTGTAACATTATGGGTATCGGGAATTGTTTGGTAGTTTCCATAAAACTCATACTCGGGCTGTGATTGTACAGATCGGTTCATTTGTACTCTTTTTTTACGTCTTTTCTTATTTTTGTTTTTACCAGAATTAACGTTATTATTACTTCTATTTTTTCGGGATTTTTTAAAGGTATTTTTATTTTGAAAATGACAAAATCGTCGGCAAAAGTGCTGAAAACTATAAGTTTTTTGTTAATTTACAATTTCTTTTGCCTAAACTCACATGTATAGTACAATAAACAATAATTAAACTATACCAACCATTCTATTTTCATTTTAATTCAAAAGGAGATTCTGCTTCCCATCCCATATAGAAGAATAAGACAAACGATGTGAGGATAATAGGAGAAGCTGGAATAATACCATGATATGAAGGTCCATAGAATGGACTTGTTTGGTCAAAGACAGTAGTGACAAAAGGGAGGTAGTTCTTTTGAAGCGCGATCCAAGCAGAAGAAAGAAAGCCACAAATGAGCATCGATTTTGTCTTGAGTGCAAAGAAGCAGAAAATGCCATTTAAAAAGAAGTGCACCAAAAATGTACAAACCATCCCAGTAAAAGGTTCTCCAAAATACGCAACATCGAACCCCTCACCCAATATTGTCAACGCGATTGAGTAAAACCCAAAAATTGCTCCTGTGATGATGCACGCAATTCTTGGGTGCAAAGAGTTAATTAGACTCAGAAAGATGTATCCTCTGAAAACACTTTCTATTGCAAATCCTTCGGCCAAATGTGTTAATGGGGACATTAAAAGATTTAGAAAAGTGTTATAGTAAATATCACTTCTCACTCTATACTCATCAAGAAATACATTGTTTTGTTCTAAAAGCGCTTTTTGTTTCCCCACTGAAGCCGTCAGCAATAAGTCGCACTGTTCTGGAAATATGATAAAAAAGCTAAAAGAGCCAAAGATCATAACAATTGGTATGATACACAACGCAACGGGATACCACACCAACTTTACAGGTGGGACATACTGTATGACCAAATTTGTGAAGTCGGTAAATACAAACGACGAGTTTTTGTTGTACAACCCATCAAGGTACTGAACTAAAAGAAACGTGAAGAAAGGGGTGAAATTTGTCAGACATTTCACGTTTTCGTACGAGAGTGCTTTATCGGAGCCAAAGAGCACTTCCAACATTTGCAATACAAAATTTAGAGCGATGGTGACACACACAAAGAATGCCAGTATTGGGATATTGAATCTTATTGGTTTTCTGATGTAGTTGTCGACTTTGAAGCACTCCATTTAGTTAAGCAGT